GGTGGCCAGCGTCTGCGAGACGCTGGAGGAGACGGGCGACATTGAGCGGCTGGGCCGCTTCCTCTGGTCGCTGCCTGTGGCCCCCGGGGCGTGCGAGGCCATCAACAAACACGAGTCGATCCTGCGCGCGCGCGCCGTGGTCGCCTTCCACACGGGCAACTTCCGCGACCTGTACCACATCCTGGAGAACCACAAGTTCACCAAGGAGTCTCACGGCAAGCTGCAGGCCATGTGGCTCGAGGCTCACTACCAGGAGGCCGAGAAGCTGCGCGGCCGCCCACTCGGCCCGGTGGACAAGTACCGCGTGCGCAAGAAGTTCCCGCTGCCGCGCACCATCTGGGACGGCGAGCAGAAGACGCATTGCTTCAAGGAGCGGACTCGGAGCCTGCTGCGGGAGTGGTACCTGCAGGACCCCTACCCCAACCCCAGCAAGAAACGCGAACTGGCGCAGGCCACCGGCCTCACTCCCACACAAGTAGGCAACTGGTTTAAGAACCGGCGGCAGCGCGACCGCGCCGCAGCGGCCAAGAACAGGTCAGTGGCGGGGTCCGCGGCCTGGCTATAGCCTCCGGAGCCAGGGAAGGAGTCAGGGGTTGAAATGCCGGCAAGGGGGGCATGGTAGGGGAGGCCGCCGAGCTCCGGAGAAGCCGCGTCTCTCTGGCCAGTTGGAGAAAGTTTCCGCTTGCCCCGGGCGCGCGGAAGAGGGGCGGGCTGTGGGTTTATTGACTGCTTTGCCGGAGAAGGGCTTTGGTCAGCGCGGAGAGCGAGTGCGTGCGACCCCGAGTGCCCACAGCCCTGGTCCCTGCCCCTGGGACCATTAGCGGAGCTTTGCACCGGCCCATCTCCTCCGCCCGACCCCAGCTAGGCGCTCCTCTGGGCCGAGACAGAGAAAGAAGGAAAACACTCCATGTTATCTGGTCCTTAATTCCATGCATTGCAAAAAATCCAAGAGAAATCCACGAATGTCAGGGAAAGGAGAATGAACCTAGGTCCCTGCCACAAAGGGGAAAGGCCACCGTGCTGAGGGCCGTCTTCTGGCAACACTACAGTTTGCGGGTCCGGAGCAGGAGAGTCGGGCTGGGGGACTGCAGAGGCCTAGTGAGTGTGTTCGCGCTCGCGCGTGCGCGTGCATATCCTTGCTTTCATTCCCCAGCCCAGGAGCATCCCTTTGGTCTTTTAACTTGGGAAGCCGACAGGAACAGCCAAGCTGCTGGCAAGTTGGTCACTAAGTCACAAAGTTATATACTGGGTTTGATGGTCAGCGGAGCCAGTTTAGGAGGAAGTAAAGGAGAAAAAGAACTAGAGGAAGGGGGGTGTGGAGATGGGAAAGAAGGGAGACAGAAAGGAGGAAGTGGGTGAAAGCCCTGATGTCGAGCTTGCCTCCCTACTTAGCCTGAAAGTCGCAGGGCCTACTATAATACAAGGAGCAGGACCATCAGCTACTGGCAGCTGCTGGTGACTGCAGGCTGAGAGTGAGTTCCTGGAGTGTGTTGTGATTCAGCTAGCCCATGCCTGAGCCCAAGGTCCTCTCAGCCCTGCCTACGCAGCCCACTTTTCGCCCGATGGGGGAAGCGCCCAGGGCCAGGCAAGGCCTCCTTATGGGGAGAACACAGAGACTCTAGGTTCAGGCAGCCGGTTCCTAGCTCGGGAAAGAGGCAGCCAGATCCTGCTCTGTGCTTCTCTCCTGCCTTCTTCTTCCTCCTTTCTCTCTCTCCCTCCTTTTTCCCCACTTTTAGCTCCCAGCTTCCCCATTTTTGTCTTCCCCGGATCCTGCGCTCTGTGCAGGGATCCAGAAAGCAAAGCCGGCGGGTCCTAACCCGGGAGAGGCGGCGGGTGAGAAACCCGCGGCTCTGGGTGTGTGTGTTTGGGGGAGCCGGAGCAGGAGGCACTCTGAGGACCCCACGCTCTCCAGGCAGCTGGTTCAGTCTGAAGAGGCCCTGGGGCTGGGGAGGAAGAAGCTCTCTGTTCCTCCTGACTTCTGCTCCTTCAGGGATCGTCGTCCTTTGCTGCGTGCCCAGGCCACCCCAGGCGGCCGGCCTCTGGTTCTACCTCTCCTGAGTCCGGTCCCTATCTGGGAAGCTTTGGGAAGCTTCCCTGGGGAAGGGAGCCAAGAGCCAAGACTCGGGCTGGGGAGTCTCTTCAGCGCCCAAGGAGTAGCTGGGTGCGTTGAAGGGATGAGCGCAGAGAGCGCAGTCGGGGGAGGCGGCTAGGGTCACTGGATGGGGGAAGGCCCGGGAGCGCGGGCGGCTGCAGGCCCGGCTCCCTGCAGCGCCGGGCAACCGGCTGGCGGGCCGTTGTGTTAGCGCGAGCACGGCTTTCTCTCTCCCGCAGGCTCCAGCACCAGGCCATCGGACCCAGCGGCATGCGCTCGCTGGCCGAACCCGGCTGCCCCACGCACGGCTCGGCAGAGTCGCCGTCCACGGCGGCCAGCCCCACCACCAGTGTGTCCAGCCTGACGGAGCGCGCGGACACCGGCACCTCCATCCTCTCGGTAACCTCCAGCGACTCGGAATGTGATGTATGATAGCCAAGGCTGCCCTCCTCCTCCCACCCCCTCCTTCCCCTCCTCTTTCCCCTCCTCCTCCTAGCCCTCCTCCTCTTCCTCCTCTTCCTCCTCCATCCCCAGAACAAACCGAAATCAGGATACACAACCATACACACACATAAGTCCACACACACTCCCGCCCCAGCCAAAAATATATAAAAATCAAGAAAAATAGCAAATTAACCGCAAACCATCAACAATCCCAAACCACCATCTACCACCACGGCCAACCCAAAGGACCTCGACGCCAACAGACAGTCACAAACGCTGATGTTGCGGGCAGAAAACATAAAAGAGGTGACAATTGTATACTTTCTAGGACAAGCACGGCTTCTCCTTTTGGTTCCCACGGACCCGGCACCCCACCTGCATGACGATTTATTTGTATCTGGGAAAATATTCTCTCTAGTTTAAAATGATTTAAAGAGTCGACTATACAAAAACCACCACCACCACCACGACGACAAGACGACAAAAGCAAAACAGACAAAAAAAGGAAAAAAAAAATCTACCATCTCTGCTCCGAATTTGTTTAAAAAAAGAAAGAAAGAAAAACAAAAAAAAAAAAAAGAACTCCTGGAGAGAGAAATAGCAAATGTTTCTCGCCTTTTGTTGCTCTCTCTCTCTTTTTCCTCTCTTGCTCTCTTTCTTTCTCTTTCTTCTCTCTGTTTTTAAGTCCAAGTATTGGTCAAACAAGATGCAATCTTCTGTTTTTTGTTCAGCAGACAATCATTTTCGTAAGCACCTTTTTTCTCTCTACTCTGTCACTGCCTGTGTGGGTACTGGTTATAAATGTGGAAAAAGAATAGTTATGACTGTAACAGATTTTTATTTTTATTTCAAAATTTTATATGAATTATGTATATCTTAATGATCGGTCATTTTCCCAGTTTGTAATATATGTGTAGAAATTGCCTGTATATGATATTGCTTTTTCTCCTCTCCCTTTCTTTCTCTCTTTCTCCCTCCTTTCTTCCTCCCACCCCGCTCACCTGTCTCTTTCCTTTTGGGGGTGTCCCCCTCCCACTCAGTGTTCCTGGCGTCGACTTGGTACTCCAGGCGTGGCGTGGTGGCCTGGGTTAGGAAGAGGGACCCCGGCGCTAGCGAAAGCGGAGAGTGAGACCGTAGTATTCTTATGCAAAAGCTATTTCAAGTATTTCTTAGCTGCTTTGGAGGTATCTCTCACTCCCCGTAGGGCGCTTTTACTGTTATCTTAACTGCGTGTTTATCTATATGTAAAAACTTTCTATAAGCAAATACAGTATTCTCCATTTTCTTATCACTCCCAGAGACTGGTGTTTTTATCCGCCCCTGGCCCGCAGCTCCAGGGTGCAGCGGCCCAGCCTTGGCTCTCCTCGAGTTCGGTGGACCACCAGAGCTGGGGCAGGATTTCGAAGCTTGGTCTGAGCTTGGCTGGGAGTTGGGTGGAAAGGCTGGATCGGGGCCTTCCGACAAGGGGCTCAAAGGAACCTTGAGCGAAAAGGCTGAGAGGACACGGGGTGGAGGAGGCTACCACAGCCAGTTTCTTCCGCGAGATGCCAGGCTCAGGTCCGCCCAGGAGCGTTTCTATCTGGGAATTTTAACATGCCGAGGCCCTTGGGGTGCTTTGGGCATCTTTTGGTTGTTGTCGCTTTGCTTTTTAAAAGGAAAAACGCCTAAGGTTGCCAAACCTAAGCATGCATCCTCAGCGATCTTGGAGGTGACAGGTTTGGTCTTCCTTTTTAAAAACAAAAAA